CCCCCCCCCCCTCCTTTCTATCCCACCACTCTGTTCAGACAGGAAGATTTGAGCAAGAAGTCTAAAAGACCCCAAAATAAACCGGGTTACTGTAAACGGACGACCCCCATTGGTACCCACCCAGTCATTACACTAGAGCCAATTAAGAACGGTACCTTCGTTTTTTTTTCATAAAGGGTGACGGCCTTGAGATACTATCATTATCATTAAGCTGACCGCCCCCAGGTAATTAAGAAATAGTTGGTTTTACAACTTTTACTCGTCAATCAAGTTCCATCATCATCTGGATTCGAACACGGGTCTGAATTTCAACAGTTCATGGGTGTGGTCCCCACTGAGCTAGGCTCTTGGGTCCCCTTTGTTCTTTTGTTTCATGGGTTTTCAATAAAAGACTGAATGGAGAGGATGAACGGATGGACAGTTTTGCTGCTCTCATTCCCTTTGTGCCCTTAAACCGCAGCCATTGTACACACAGGCCCGAAGGCGCTGCACTGCGCGCCGTGGTCTGACAGGCCCGCGCCGTGGTCTGACAGGCCCGAGCAGTGAAGTTCTTGGAGTAGGTGACGAACATTTTTCCACAGGGCTGGGGCCGCGTAACTTTTGCCCCTTAAACCACCAGCACACCCGGTCCTGCGACTCCTGGAGGTACCGCACTGCACGCCCAGAGTTGCCTAACCCCAAGCGGCACACTTTTTTTCTCTCTTGCTGGCTCCACCAGCCCCGACCGTCTGATATTATAGAAGTAGGTGATGAAAAAATATTCCAAGGCTGGAGCCGGGGACTGGCAATATTTCTCATCAGTCTGCTTCACATGCCATCTCTGGCGATTTTCGACACCGCCATCCCTGGCCATTTTTCATTTTTTTTGGGCACAGCCAAACGCCCTGAAAATGTACAGATGTGTACTTCACATAATACAAAACTCGTTAAAAAAAGTTTTAAAAACTAATAATTTTTTTTAGGCCCCGCAATAAAGTGAAAACAAAAAATAAAAAGTGAAAAAGAAAAATAGTGAGTGGGCGAGCACATTTTGACACCGCCAGCTTTGGCGATTTGTTTTTTTAGGCCCCGAAATATTTTTTGGCGGGGGCCGAACGCTGTCGGGTTCAGACCCCGAACGGGACCCCAAACGCCCGTACGTACGGAGGTCGGCCCAGCGACCTATATATATAAACTCCAACGAAACAGTTTGTCACAGCCCCTCTTTGTTGTCATCTTCTCCCTCTCTGCCTACGGTTACCGGGAAGCTCTGTTTGACGATAAATATATATATATATCATCAAATAGAACTGCCCGGTAAACCGTAGGCAGAGAGGGAGAAGAGGACAACAAACGAGGGGCTGTGAGAGAGAGAGAGAGAGAGAGAGAGAGAGAGAGAGAGAGAGAGAGAGAGAGAGAGAGAGAGAGAGAGAGAGAGAGA